CTATGGCTCAGTAATGACGGAACGATGAGTGCGGGTGCCCCTCCAGGGGCAATGTTTTTCAACTACTTTTCTTTCTTCATTTTCTTTTCTTCATCTACACCATATCCACCAAATTAACATTAGAAATCAAGAAGGGAACAGGGCAACTCACAAACAAGCAAAAAAGACGGATGATGAAGGCATTTGTATCTGTGTTTGTTTTTGTTTCTGATCTACGTTTAACTGCCAGTCGGCATTTTCATAATCTGTTCAGTAATGTACTTGTCACTATCTCTTCATTTTGGGCAGGCAGGGAGTACAGGTAAGAGAAAGGGGGGGGGGGGGGGAGGGAAAAAAAAGAGNGGGGGGGGGCCAAAGAACGATGTATAGGCTCCCAACGAGACCAAAGGGACATGTATAACGCAAACGGAAACAAGACATCTATACCATCTATAACCAGCAGTAGAGCTGGACACTTGCAATATGAATCATTCCTCACAACGGCTTCCTTCAAGTCGCATCACGTCCAGAACCAGCGCCCCCGTCTCGCCAGCAAACAACCGCCACGGATCTCTCGGCCCGGCCCAAAAGAAATCAAGGCTCTGCACACTCCATCCCATTTGCCGTGCTGGATTATTCCCCTGTCCCGGCAAGAAAACCTCGCTCCCCACCGATCACGTTCCAATGTCCTGGTATCACGCTGCCCTTACCCCTGACGGCTGCCCAGGAACTGCTCGCTTCCCAGACCCAACAGACCCCTCTCCCGTCGCTCGCTTTCGTCCGCACCCTGGCCCCCAACTCGTCGAGTCTTCAGACGGGGGGGGGCGGGGGGCGGAATGCAACCCCTCCCTCACGCCCTCTCTGCACGTGGCTGGCAGGGACGCATCCAAAGAGGCAAAAGGCGACCGAGATGGTGCCCCCCCGGGACGCATGTATACGTACCCGGGATGCCAATGCTTATCGTACTACCAGAATCACTTTCAGCCCGACAAAAAAAGAAAAAGTGGTTCTTGGACAGAAACGAAACCCCCCCCCCCCCCCCCCGCGGGGGAGCAGGCAAATCGGTACCTTGGCCGTTTGAGAAGTAATATCCTCGATGCGGGATTCACCGAGGCTGCTGACTGTTTCAGGGGGGAGTGTAACCGTAAGCGTGAACACCACTCGCGATTGGCGAAGGAGGACAATCGATCGGGAGGCCATACTCGGGGAAGACAAGAATGGGTCAACCCGTACGTGTGCATGGGGGAGGCATTCTGAGTACGGAGTACACCGTACATTCTAGAAAACCACTGCCAGCCATACTTTATGATATACGCACATGTCGTGCGACCCATCATAGATTGATGACAGCCTCAGAGTTTCTATTTCGAGACGGTGGTGGCTAAAAATGACATACTCTAAACAAACACAAGTTCCCCTGTCAAAATCAACGTCATCCACTGACCAAGACAAAGCAAAACAAACCTCCTACCGAGTGCTGTTGGAATTTCGACGGCGATTCCATTGCAGCAATTCCTTCACCCAATCACACGGACTAAATATACATCCGTCACATCCGTAAACAATGTATCCATCCCACGTCGTCCATTATTTTTTATTACGACAATATTAACGAATAACATAATTATATGGCGAATAAAGTGACGGTAACGCTCTCTGCCGTTCATGCTGGGCTGATCCCGATTTCGTAGTTGACAAATTTGCAAAGGTATTCCAATCCAATGTCTTTCGATCGAGCCGGATATTTCGAGACGTTGGTGCCACTTGTTTGAACTTTTGATAACGAAACAGTTGATAGCTGCAAATTTTCACCTCGAAAGGCGAAGTATTGATGTATAACAATAGAAAACATATTTCAGACGATTCGAGGCGGCACACACTAGGGCCGGCTGACTGACCAGATCGCCGTGTGTATTAGTTCTGCCAAGGAAACACGCCTGCATCGGTTTCAATGAACATAGACTGAGAACCAAGGGAATAATTACTCTGACCCAGGTTTGGGCTGGTGTTGCTTTGCTTTTGGTCCATTACGCTGAGCCCGTCGCTGTTGTCGAAGCTTACAGGCCATTGCATAGCCCGGCTCAGTCGCTTTTCTCCATTCTACCCAAGCTTCATATTCCTGCTGATCCTTAGGATTAGGTTGCTTTGGCTTTGGAACTCGGCGAGGCAGGGAGTTGTTCGTCTGGGCTACTGGAGGAACACTGCTCGTATTCGGCACGCCGATCTTAGGTTGCGAGCAAGGTGACCCAAGGCCGTTGAATAATTGGTTTTGTGTAATAGGAGGCATAAAACTCTTCGGTTGAAGCGGTCCACAAGTATCCGGTATAGCTGTGACAGCCTGACTTGTCGGCCACACTCCTGGTTGTCCCACCAGAGGTTTAGATGCATCTGGCATGAGTGGAATTAGACCCAAGAAAGACGCATTACAATGGGGAAATGGCTGAAAAAGGAGAGGAATACTCGTAGCATTCATACATGGCACCGGTACTGCTCCATCTGGAGTAACGAATTGATTGTCCCTAGCGGCTGGAGCTTTGTGTTCAGGTTCTGATGGGAACACCTCGCGGCGCGAAGACTCGTCCACTTGCTCGTCAATCGAGATATCAAATGATAGCAATGCCGGTCGCCGACCTTTCCATGACGTATTTTCTGTCTTTTGTGAAAAAGAAAGAAACTCTCTGGCTTTAGGATTGAGCGAGTTGTATTTATCCGGGGCATCACCAGCCGTCGAGTCGGTAGAGTGGTCCCCTCGCCGCGATTCTGACACAGGCCAGTATCTAACAGCAAAGTCTGAAGCGGTCTTGACTCGCCTTCCTGTGCCATGGGTTGGTCGTCGTGTAGCTGGCACAGGAGCCGTACCCGTAGGCTGAGGCTGAGGTTGCTGTGCTCGCGATGATTCAGGCTCATATCCGCTGTCACGACTTCGATCAACCGGTTTCTTCTCTTGCGAAGCAGCACCATTCAACCTTTTTATTAACTTTTGAAACGCTATGTCCTTTTGCTCCAAGACATATTGCCGATGCCCCGAAGTATTCGAAGCCCTTTCATCAATGTCGGCATCACCAATGTTAAAGTCCTGCAGGCTTCCGGAAGAGAATGAAAACCCGGAGTCCTTGGACTGAAGTCGACACGGTTGACTCTCGTCCATATTTTTACCAATTTTAAGGAGAGATTGCTCCGAGAGACAGGACAAACGCTGCGATGTATGTTGGCCACTCGAAGATGTGTGGCCGATTTTTCGAGGTGTTGACCCAGTTGCTTTCAAAGCGGCCATCAATTGATATCCCTGGCTCTCGTCTGGCGTAAGAGTGTGTTTTCTTGATATCATTTGAAGGAATCTATCGTCGACACTCTCGTCACCAGAAGAAAGCCTGGCAATTGTGCATCTTTTGTCGCTATATGAAGAGTCTTGACTGCATACCAATCCAAATAGATCGAGAGTGCGTCCTTGGCCTTGATCGTGTAACTTGGCATGCCGTACTACGTCGAAAAAATGGTTGCCGGATACGTGGCTTCCTAAAAAGTCACTGTACGCGCCCCATCCCAGACTATCGTCACCAAGGTAGCAATGTGGGTTTGTGGAATGCTCAAACTCGACTTCTGACTTTTTCAAAACTTCCTGAACACTTGGCTGCTGCTTCATCGAATCTTGCAGAAAGGATGAAAAGTTGTGATGTGACGGAAATGTGGATTGAGGGATGTCCTGGACCAACGGTTCCATACTCTTCGAAGCCGGTGTCGTAGAATTGTCCTGGTCATCATGAGCGCGTCTTCTACGCCAGTTTGGGTCGTTGAGTGGCTCATTGAACACTATTCCTGTTTCTTGACTTGCAGAAAGGTCTCTTTTCGTATATGTGCCTCCGTGGCTCGATCTGTGTGATTTATTCGCGCAGGTAGCAGAGTGGCCCTTGCGGACGATGCCATATCCCGCCTTCTTGCCGCTACATGAGGCCAGGCCAACCATCTAGGATAAATTCATTAGCATAAGTCACTGTGTGTAATGAATCGTAGCGCGTACGGCGTTGAAGCGATGTATCAACTTAGCAACTACAAGATCCTGGGTATGTTGTACGTGCGAGGACGTGATGTGAGCGCGATTGTTCCACTCCACGGGTGAACCGCTTTTGATCGTCCTTTCGTGGAATCCAAAAAAACAGACGCTAGGAAGCTCCTTTATTTTTGAAATAATTGAACGGCTTTCAGATGTGCAATTTTTAAAAGAGTTTGAGGCCAGTCGTGTGTGAGGTCTTTTAGTCAGAACACGGCCTCAAAATGAATGACGGCGCAGTCGGACTCTTTTGCACTCTCGAGTCAAACTTCACGAGATGCAACGGGTACCCAGAAACGACAGCTGCTGGAACATGGGCTGGCAATGGAGAAGGTGACTTGAATCTGAGGTGGAAGCAAGGGCAGGTGGCCAATTTAGACCCCAAAGCCCGCGAAGAACGATTTTAGAAACTAGTGTCGCTACTGTGACAGAAACGCTCACTGTTCAGGGTGTTGCAAACGTCGAGTGGGATAGAGGTACAATCCAAAAAAACAAGAGACAGAGGGCAAAGAAAGCCGCGCTGGATGTCAGAACACGTTCGCTATGGAGTAGCCAAGAAGGACGGTGAGGGCGAAGTGAGAAAAAGGTGAAGAGAAGTTCAAGAGGTCGACAGTGGCATTGGGACGGTTGCCAGGAGGCAGGTGTTGACGCGCGGGCACTGAAAATATCGGCAAGAGCAAATGTGCCATTGATGCTTTCCGCCCATGCCTTGCCTTCCATGTTGTGTTGTGACTTTGAGCCATCACCAACGCTAGATGCACACGTTTCAATAATCCATGGTATTAAAATCACGGGCAATTGCGCTGACAACAGGTATATTCCGTGAAAAATGAAGATGAAAGAACAGCGTAAGAGGCATATTCCTCGAGAGGACTAGGGATAAATATGGCAAGTAGATGATGACAAACTGATGCAACCGCCTGTTGAAAGAAAACACTGCAGAGACATAATAAATGGTCCAGCGACACATCAGTTAGCCTTGAACAGCCTGACCACCCATGTAAGCAGTGAAAGCTTTCTGCTCGACTGGTTAGTCCTTGGCCAATGAATGACGACCACGGAGCAATAGTACGTACCGGGTTACGGGTTTGGATAAAGACAGTCCCGGGACCTGTAAACTTGCAGACGAGGCCTTCTGCGGAAGCCATGTTAGAGATAATACCACCAGAAGCGACTCGCTCAAGGACGTATTTGGTATTCCATGCCACCAGGTGGCCGTTATCGACAATGTACTTCTCACCATCCACAAGCTGCCGTGGGTTAGTTTGGAACCAAATTGGGACGAGATGGGATTCTGGTCAAAGACTCACATCCTTACGAATAATAGCGCCGAAACTTGTGAGCCACATGATGCCAGTGCCGCTGATTCTATACACAAACAAGCCTTCTCCGCTAAAAATTGCTTTCCCGAGGCCCTGCCGTTTGTGGTCTTTGATAATTCCCTGAGTGGCCGCGAGAAAGGCGTCGTGCCCGACAACCCAGCTCTCTTGGCCAGTCAGACGGATGCTGGTAATATCTCCTAGCATGGGGGGAGCAAGGAGAAGTTCACCAGGGCCGACATATCTGGAAGTTGTCATGTCTGCGCCAGCAATCATCTTCTTCACACTAAACTTCAGTTCTCCTTTAAGTGTGATGGATGGGGACATGGCAATCATGGCGCCTTTTCACTGTTAATCGGGAACGTGAGCTACACATGGACTAGAACAGTACATACCGGGTTTGGCTTGCATAGGACAGCCTATAGCCAGTTGAATGGTCAAGATGGTGTTGGAATCACGGTGACTAATGCGGTAGCTCCCGCCATTGAAAGTGCCCACATCATCAACTACGGCGCCTGCGCCAACGAAGTGGCCAGCAGGCGGCGCTCCAGCCGAAAGATTAGAGGGATCACTTGTATCTAGTGGCTCTTGTTGTTGTTGTTGTTGTTGTTGCCCAGCCTTCTCCGGGGGATATGGCGCATTGCTCCCGGGAAACGATGGAGGAGGGTCAAATGCGGGCGGGTCTTGCTGTTTAGGATGATGGTCACTTGACGACGCTGGCCTCACGGCCAAGGAAGCCTGCTGGAGCGGTTGAGGAGCAGGCGGAGAAGTTGGGGGAGGGGGGTACTGGTGCGAAGCGGCACGCTGGTGGTGAGCCTGAGAAGATGGACTTTGCTGGGGAGGCGGTGGGTATTGTTGGGCGTTGGTGTGGTGAGACAACTGAGGAGACGGGGTGTGTTGCGGTGGCGGAGGATAGTTCATCTGCTGCCCTGGAGAAGCCTGGGGAGGGGGAGGATAATTGACGGGTTGGAAAGGCGAGCCCTGGGCCGGCGGAGGGTAGAATTGTGTTCGGTTGGCGGGAGGCGATGTTGGCGGACCTGTCTGCGAGTTAGATGCAAACCTGGTTGATAACGGACATGTCAGCCGGGGTAATCGAACCTCCAGGTGCCGATCCCGGGGGGGCTAGAATCACAGATAAATATCCGTCAGCTTGGGCACCTCAAGCGTAGAATGCCAGAGGCCTCGATGGGAGCATGACAAGTTTGCCTTACGAGGATAATACTGAGGCTGCTGCGTAGCCATGGTTCAAGCGTAGGTGTCCCAGGCAATATCACGCCCTCTGCGAGTATGATTATACCAGCGTACTTAGTATGAATGTGTCAGAGTACCGACGGGATGGGCTGCCTTGCGGTCCCAGTGGCGTGGGTGGCCTTTGCTGAGACACGATTGTCGTTGTTGTTGTTGTTGTCGTCGGAAGTTTGAATGGACAGATGAAGTCTCCAGGGTTCGCGGCTCGCCCCGCAATGGCGTTTGGCTCCTGGCCTAAGGCAACTCTCAACGACGAGGATAGCCAGCCTCGCAATTTCTTTCTTTTTTTTTTGGCCGACGAGCGGGAAGAGTCAAAATGTCCACGACCTTTGGTTAAATCTGAAGTGGTCAATCTCGACGGACCCGAGTCTGAACTGATCTTGCACCGGACCTGGCTCTAGGACAACGTAATCAACTTCTGAACTGAGCTCAACAGCCGCCCGATGGCTAGCTCGTGGGCGGTTGAGACATGGCAATAGACCAGTCAGCAGCTCGCGAACTGCAGATGATCCCCGCAGTTTGAATAAAGCTCAAGAGTGTGGGCCGTGAAACGTGGGACACGCTCAACCCGCTCGCGAGGCTTGAAACGCTTGAGATGTGCGAGATGTGGTGCGGGACCGCCTCGATTGGCGGGCCGTGCTCCATTAGCGCCCAGGTGGGTCCCTAGCATTGTATGTATGTACGGAGCATTCGTGTTGGACTCAGGATAAGTAAAGTACTTACTTAAGTAAGTATGGAGCGCCTGGAGCCGCCGTCGGCGTTGCGCTCCGTTTCGTTGGTGCTGGTCCCTGGAGCTTGAGGCCTGCAGCCTGGCGACAGGGCAACCAGAACAGTCTAGTTCATCTGGTCCAAGCTCTCATAAACGTTGCATGTTGGCGTGGTTGGTTCAGCCTTTTCATGTCAATTGGACTCCTCTCCTCGATGCCGGCCGCTCCTAGGCTTGGCGTCCAACGCCGGCCCATTCGTGTCGGCGCTTGCCACCTGCTTGCCAGACCCGAATCACAGACGGTATTTGAAGTACAAATTTTGCACAACACATTATGCATCATGAGCATGCAAGTCCGGCGGCTACGTCGGACACCGGACGCTGTCGCTGTTCCTCGGATAGGAACCTGGGCTTGTAATTGGCTTTGAGAGTCTCTGTGTGACCCGCGAACCATTCATCTATGACCGTGCTTGCTTGTATCGTCTCACGAGGGACTATTGCAGGTACCGTGCTCAAGGTGGCTTGATCCGAGAATAGACGACGACATTTTTTCTTCTTCCCTCTTCACTCTGGTCCCAACACTGGTGCGGAGTACCTGTGTAGAGACTAGCCATCAGAATACCAAAACTTTGCACAAGTGGACGTGGGCATCCTACGGCTCGCAGTCTCAAGCCACCTCGAAATGTCCAGATAACGTTTTTTCCGCAGCAAGAGGGGCCGGCACGCTTTGTAATTCAGCGTATGTATGCTTGTCCCACAAGCTGGTTCAACTAAGAAACGCTAGGCCGGTGCCTCATCTAATCCTCAGCTGTTAGATGGACTAGGCACCTAGGTAAGTAGATGGAATGTCTTGAAATCTTTCCCCAGTGTCGCCGCATACCTAGGTGACTTTCGGAGACACCGAGGCCCAAGGTCTTTGTAGTACATCCCAAGTATTGTTGGAGAACTCTGGATCCAACTCCTGGCCATGACTCTCGCCCTCATAAAACGTACCCTTGTGGTCAAAGCCTTGGGCATGACAAATCCCCGTAGAACAATTGTGACAGTGCTCGAGCCGATGGCCTGTACTAGCGTAAATCTATTGACCAGCCAAAATATTTCATAGCTCTAAAGAGGCTGGACTCGAAGCTCGAAACCATGTAGGAAAAAGATGTATACCAAAACTAGGCAGCCAAAACGTTTGAACTACTCCTACAGCAAAACACCGGTATCTCCCTGTGAGCAGTATACTAAACTGCACCCCATGCCTTAGTGAGAAGAAAAGCGTTGTTCGAAAACAGTCCGGATTGCGCATCATGGATTTGACATTATGCTATACTGCCAGGCTATCGGGTGCACAAGGGCCATCAGTGGGATGACGAAGGTTTTTCGCAGATAACAGTACTTGCCAAATTCCAAGTCGCCTATGAATGCTTATCGGCTCCAGATATAGAATGGATGGTGACTTGGACGGTTTTGACTGTGTTCTCAAAGTTCGCGACGGAGATGACGAGCATTGTTGCAGTCTTCACCCCGGAAATATACTTGCACTTGTGTTAGCTAACAAGGAGTGCAAAATCCTGCCCACAAAGGAGACCATTGGCGAAGGCGCTGGAGCTATCTCAAGTTCCTATCACGGGGTTTTTGCACAGGCTTGCAAGGGTGGATATCTTGGTTCAACCCCCGAGGGCACGTTGCCGGAAAAGAGGCGAACAAGTAGCAACTACGGCGCTGCTCATGCTTTCTTAACAATGGCGCATCGGATTGTCAATATTTAAGTGCCAGGGTCTGGGGCTCTTTCCAGGCTTGACCACACAATATAGTTGTTTATCAACCCCCAATGCCCAACGCAGGAATCGCAATTTGACATCGTCGTCTCTCTAAGTAGCAAAGGGTCTTTTGTCGAGCCAAGCCAGACTCTGAGGCTTCGAACCGCTGATGCAAGGAACCTATGCCTCCAAATGGAACCGAGTGTTTTGTCTTGGGTGCCCATACGTAGTCTTTGATCCGCCGGGTCTTTTAGGAGAAGAGAGGTTGACACAGGAGTCATTCGTATGCATGTACATGTTTGCATAGGAATGTCGAGGCCTTTGTCCTGGCTTGCTCTAGTCTTGGTGCAGCTTAGTGATGGTGCACACATCCATGCTTAGAAGCCCTGGGGCATCAGATTCCATCTGAAGGAAACAGAGGATTCAATCCAAGCTGCCTCAAGGGACTTGAGAAATGAGCTACAGACACCTCGTGTCATAAGGTGTGGGGAAAGAGCAACATAGAGTTTTCCCCGAGCCATCAACGAGTTTTCGTCGTTCTCTCATCCAGTTCGTTCCGCATCGTCAGTTAACACCTGATATAGCGCCTCGGCGGCATGAGATAGTCGCGAGCCGGCGCCTGGCGAAGCAGGTTAATAGGGGATGTTGGCTGCAGGAGCAAAAAGTGTCAAGTTCGTGGGCCACGAGGTACATACTAAGTACCTAGTTAGTTTTCATTGACATTCAAACCCTGGGATTGCAGGGCCAATGATCTTGGTGCGGATTTCTGGTGCCGGCCAAGGCTGTGCAGCCAGCCAGGGTGTTTGGCAATTCATACATATACATACATACGGCACCCATAGCGTACGCAGCTTGTGCATTGGCCAAGGAAAAAGAAGAACAACTGACGCCCCGCGCTCTGGGAAAGACGATGTCTAATGCCACTTCGGCAACGCTGAAGAATTGACTGCTTTCGACGGACAGAGTGGCTAATAACATCAATGAATCTGTTCATAGAGAAAGTATGTACATACAGTAGAGGGTTGAGAAGGACCAGTTGGACATGCCTTTTTTCCAAAGATGCCACAACGGGAGTCATTGAGAAACGCCGTCGGTGGCGCCAGCGCGGAAGGAGCTTGGGAACTGAGGGCCGTACCGTGCTTGCCGTACTTACTTAGGCACTTAAGTACTAGTACTCTGTAGTAGTAGTTGAACCCGCCTCAATCGCTCGTGCGACACTCCAATTGGAGTGTCATGCATCACGATTCACTGCTAACTTCGCTAGGTAACTCCGTACCCAAGTCCAAGTTGACAGTTAACTCCACATTTGGAGCATCGGTCAATGGTGCACATCTCACCACCTTGAGCCAAGACTGGGAGGCTTTTCTGCCACTCACCACGCACGCCACCCTACGCCACTTATTAAGCGCTCGTGCATCTACCTACCTTTTACTCCGTACCTAGGTTTTATGTACGGAAGTACGTGAGCCGACGGAGTGTCAAGGTGTGTCTTTCTTCAGGTGTCATCACCGCCCAAATTGTCGTCGTCTGACACACACACGATAATGTAAAGAGTATGACTAGATTGCAATAGTCGCACCAGCTGAGGCTACAGCTGCCAAACACGCACATAGGTGCACATGGTCGGCAGGAAGCTTACCATGGCCGCCGCGCGCGCAAAATAGCAACATCAACAATTCACAGCGTCTTGTTACCACGGCCCTTCGATCAGTACCGAGTCTGCAAGCTTCGGTCCGTGTACCGAGACAGTGTTACTTTGAAACAGCAACTGCCCCGTATTGACCGTCTTCATGCAATCTGGGGCTAGTTGAGATAAGAGATGTGAGCAGTCGCAAACTCGGGTTCAACATAATATTATGCACTCCGCAATGGGCCAAGCATTGCCTCGTGCGTATCCATAAGCCGATACGCTGAGCGGAATCCAGACATGGGTCGAATCATGCACGAGCGATCATCCCTACTACTTTTTCGATTGCATTGCATCACCATCACCAATGACAGCAGCTCGCAGGTCCACCAGTAACAATCTTTGCTTTAGATATGGAGTGTTAATACTCAATGTTTGTCTATTACGCGTCGCACCCCAGCTCTTTGTCCAATCCTGGCCGGTACGTTATTCAAGATTTGACTTCCTCACGACGAGGGCCGACTTCACCCAGGTGCTTTCAATGCATGATATCCCTCCCTCCTTTGTTGCATTGGTCCTGGTGACATTGCTAATGTGACGAGGAGATGATGTGACACGAGGAACCCGATCCGACTTCGGTACTGTACAGGTAGCCGTACCCTGTAGGACGATCAAAACCTGGAGAACCTGGCTCATATCTATCAGGAATGATGCCTGCTTCCCCGAATTGCCTCCATTGGACAATCAATCGATGAATTCTCCCAGACCTAGAAAACAAAACAAGTCCTCACCCTCCCTGTGCATCAGCAGCGGTCAATGGGATGATGATGACCTCTACACGGACAGACACCACAGCTTCCTTCAATCCTCAACTACGGATAACTGAGAAAGATTCACGTACCCTGTACAGTGT